CTACGCTAACGTCGCTTAGCACATCAATCCAACAACGAAGCACAGCTCCACGGTCGTCCTCGGGGTTGTTATATCGAGGAGCGGGTGAAGAAGACATTATTGGAGAACATGTTTTCAAGGAAGCCCATCAAAGCAATATTCCCCACAAGTGAACAATCGACAATTATAAATGGAATTATACGTCGATTGCGACATGGTGATCGCGAACACGTTCTTCGAAAGGGAAGATGACAACAAGATCACCCACCGGAACTTGGGGGTGCAGCCTTTGCAATCAATATCGCCAGATTTGTTCTCCCAAATCGTTCACGTTTTATGCCATCAATCGATGCTTCGTTGTATGCAAGAATGCTGGTCTATCCGGGCAGCCACCCTCAATAGTCACTATTTTCTTACATGCGCATCGCTTCAGTTGGAATTTCAACGATCTTCGCGGACCCGCACGCCGAAGAAAAAGAAGGACACGGGCGCTCTCGCGGTGATGGACACCAATAAAATCTTTACCGAGACATTTTCGAATGCCATCGGGGATCTACCTCCTTCCCCTTCTCTGGACGACGCCGCGGCCAAAGTACAGCGAGCTTTTGAAATGATTGCCGAGAAGAACGCTTACCGCCAATCAGGGGACTACGACAGCGAGCTCCGGCTACACTAATTGAACCGGAAAGCTGGAAGGAAAGATCGTGCGGCTTGGTTGCATAATTTGGTTTCCAGTGGCAGTTGGGATGCGGTTCGACACCTACGAAAGCCAGCGCCCCGCAATCACGTGGGCGTTAAAGACTTGATCGGGAACCTCTGCGACACCTCTGCTAGACCAATCAACCTTGCAGAGTACTTCGAGGAAGTGCAATGGAGAGTCTGCTTCGCCGATGTGGTCCCCACGAACTCCGAGAGGCTTGGGGCCACTTTGCCGATCAACAAAGACACGTTCTCCTTAAACGAGCTCCAGACGGCGATCAAGAAGATGAAGAATAGGAAGGCAGCTGGGCCGGACGACGTGCCTGCAGAATGTTGGAAAGTCGTTGCTGAAGACACGCGTGCTTGTGGTGCACTCTTACACGTATGTCGAGCATGTTGGGAGACGAAAAACATTCCATCCATGTGGAGGCGAGCGAATGTGGTTTTGCTATTCAAGAGAGGGGACGCTACTTTACCAAGTAACTACAGACCGATATCCCTTGGCGGTGGGCGAGAAAGTATTGGCCTGGATGCTACACAAGCGACTCCTGGATGGCGGGTGTGAACGAAGAATGCTGGAATCTCAATTTGGTTTCCACCCAAAGCGCGGCACTTCAGACGCCTTGACGCTTAACCGTAGGATGGTGGATGCAGCTCACATGAACAACCGTGGAGGCTTATCATTCTTATTATTCGACTGGGCGAAAGCTTTCGACAGCCTGAAACCCGACAGCATGTGCGTGGCCTTGGGAAGGTTTGGACTACCAGCACAAATTGTCAACATGGTCCGCGGAATTTACGCAGAGAGGTATTTCACTATAGTCGATCATTGTGGGACTTCTTCGGAGAGGAAGCAATCTGCAGGTATCGCGCAAGGGTGCCCGCTAAGCCCCTACTTGTTCATCGCTGTTCAAACTGTGATGCTGCACGACGCCATGGACACGCTGGAGCTACAACCAGAGCCGGAGTATATCGTCACCAGGGACATTTTGTTCGCGGATGATACGCTCTTGGCGTCGCAACATGCTGGGAATCTTCAACTTCTGCTTGAATCCATTGTTACGGAAGGTCGCAAATATGGCATGGAGCTCAATTGGGAGAAGACGTTGCAAATGAACATTTCTTCAACAGGCGAAGTACGGAGACCAACGGGAGAAAACGTCAAATCCGTGCGGGAGGCAGTTTACTTGGGCGGGCTGATATCTTGACACGGCAAAGCTGGGAATGAGTTGTCCCAGAGGCTGGGCGAAGGAGCGCACATAGTCAAGCAGGTGCAAAAGGTATGGGCCCACGCCGCCAGTGGTTGGAAACAGAAATATAATATATATATATATATATATATATATATTCCGCATGCGTTTTGACCAAGATCTTGTATTCTTTGGATTCAATATGGCTTCTCAAATGCGAGAACGATCGATTAGACGCTTTTCATTGCAAATGCATCCGGAAGATATTGGGTATCCCGCCCTCGTTTATTTCCAGGGTCGCCAACTCCATCGTGCTATCTGACATATTAGCTGGCAAACAGACGGCGCTGTACACCAAGATCGCAAATGGAAGTGATTCGTGCCTGGCGAAATCTATACTTTGCAACGTAGACGGCTCTCCCAGACAATGGGCCTCTCGTAGAAAGCGAGGGCGGCCGCGGCAGCGTTGTGCCACATCGGTCTATGAGCTTCTCTCGTAACTATAGGCAGGTTCCCCTCTTCCTCCTCTCCCTCCTCCTCCTCGTCTTACAGTCGGGCGCTTCCGTTTTCTGCTTCACAGTCGTGGGGCGCCTTGTCTTCCCTCTTTCAATAATTACCGAAGGGCTGCCAACTGCGCGCTCTTCTGCCCACGCGTCCTTCCGGATGCGTGGCTCTGTGGTGGTAGTGGTGGTGGGGCCGTCATCGGACCCTGAGGCCATCGCAAATAGATCCAGGTCGAAAAACTACCCCCAAGGAAGTGGTCAAAATTTCTGGGGCCGCTGATTGAAACGATCATATCGGCATCGGTGGATGTTTGAGGAGTTCGTGGAGCACAAGGGTCCCGCAAGACTTCGTCTAGGTTTTCTTCGGGCCCCGTGCATGGGGGCCCTCAAATGGCCCCGGGACAATCAAGAAGCGAGTCTAGAAGCCTCCCAAAAGAAGTCAGAGAAGATGGGGACTGAGGATCGCGTCGCATCCATCAGCGGCGTCGACGATGCATCGGCGACGTTGGCGCGGAGAAACCGGGCTCCACATCGAGCCGCATTGGCGACGTATCGGAGATGCGGCGTGATTCTTCGACCCCATCTGCTTCAGCCCAATCTGGGATGCCTGGAGACTCAGAGTGCAGAGCGCCCCATGCGTCGCTTTTTGATTGGACCCGCCAAGGGGTTCTGCAGGACCAAAACTTCTACTTGACCAATCCTGTGAAGGGCCCTCAACGGGCCCAAGGACAGCTCAAAAAGCGAACCAGGGCCCTGCCCGATCAAGAAGCGACAAGATCTGAGATCCGACATCGCCAACAGAATGGAACATCGTCAAGAATCACGACCAGAGCCGCAGACCAAATTTGCTACATGTCTCGAGCCGGGTAGATATGTGACGGTCCAGGTGCCCGAAGCTGGGCGAAAACGCCCAGTGATGCAAATTGCAGCACCCAGATCTCACGGAGGGTGAAGACATTGTCCTGGGGAACGCCCTGGGGCCTGGAGGGCCCCCTCCCTCCGACAAAGGAAAGACTCGGCCAGGCGAAACTCCGCCAGGCTGAACTCGGCCAATGCCCAATTCAGCTTGGCCGAGGTCAGCCGAGTTACCCAGGTCATCTGGCCTCGGTCAGCTTGCCGAGTACAGCCTGGCCGAATTTCCCTGGCCGAGTTCAGTTGCTGTCCCTCCACGGCGATTGGAGGCGTCGACGGCGGTGTGGGCGGCTCTCAGCCTGCTGCACGGCGCCTCACGCGGGTGGCCCCGCTCCAGCGGCGGCGCGGGCCCCGCGCGAGCGTTGGGGGCCCCAGGACGGTGCGGCGACGCGCGGTTTCTGGACCGTGGAGGCCCCAATCGTTCGAGGCGTTCTCAGAGAACGGCCAGGGTCACAGAACCGTGCCGTTACCCCGAGTCCCCACTGACTCGCCACACGGCGTGGTCACAGCGCACCGTCAGGGGGCCCCTGCGGAGACGCCCGCGCTGGACCGCCGAGGCGCCAGCGTGCGCGGCATCGCACCGCCTATAGCAAGGGACTGCTGCGCGGAGGGGTCTCACGACAAGGGTCGTCGCATGTCCATCGGCGGTGCGCAGACGCGGGCGGAGCGCGGAGAACTGTGATTGCGAATGCGACCAAATGATGAAAACATGAATCGGGCAGGGACGATTAACAAATTGTTGCGTTTTGTCTGGGTCGCTGGCTGCGGCCTAGCGGCCTCGATGGTAACGACGACGACGACGAACTGGGAACATCTTTATTACCGTCCACTTCCAAATGAGGCGCTGCGACACCACCTCCCCGGCATTTTTTGTCGCGTCGTCGCATGATGAGGTTAATTATGCCACCACATGTGAACCTGCAAATCATGTTTACTCTTGAAAAACCGACCGGGATTCAGAATCTGAAGGAAGCCAGGTGGACCCCAGCGGGGGTGTCCGATGCCCCAGCGTCAACTGGACCCGTGCGGGTAGGGTTCGCAAGTGATCGCAGATAGGAGATAGGAGATAGGATCCTCTATGCTCAGGGCTTCGGGGAACGTTCGGAGATGGCGCGTTTCGCCCCTCGGAGGCAGGCTTCCAAGATCGAAATCAGGGGGGGGAAGGGGGCTTCCTAGAAGACGGACCAGGGGCGTCTGAGAGGGCCTCTGAGTTCCGATCGGAGAGGCTCTGCGAGGCCTCCTGCCCTCTTGGAAAGCAGCCCGTCTCGCCCCACCCCTTTCTGCGCGCCGCAGGTTTGAGGTTCGGCTCCAGCAGCGCTGCCGCGCTCGCTGCAAGAGGCAGGAGGCCTCCGGCCGCGCGCCCCTGGGCCGCTGGCGAGCCTCTTGGTGGCCCGCTGCTCCTGCGAAGCAGGACGGCGCCAGCTGCTGGCCCACCCACGAGTGCATTCCAGGTGGGGGTGCGACGCCGCGCCGTCGTCCAGCGCCGTGTCCAGGACCTCGTCGAAGTCCTTCGCCATGCTCGCACGCGAGGCCTCGCAAACGCACCGCCCCGAACTAGACGGCGCCCTCGGGCGGGAAGGCCGTGAGGGTGAGTACGATCGCCGCCGAGTGCCTGCTTGATTACGAGGAGGAGGGCACGATCGACGCCGAAGCGACTCAAGGCCTGCTCTCGTCCGCGCCCCATGCACCATGAAGCCGACGCTCTCAGTCGACACTCTCAGTCGACGCACACGCGGATGCCCGCCGCGGCGCCGTCGGCACGCAGCGCGCTCTCCGCTTCGGCCCCGAACAGGTTCGCCCGGAGGCTGAGCTGCTGCAGCGCCGGCGCGCCCAGCAGCGCCTGGGCCAGCGCCCGCGCGCCAATCTCCCCGGCGGCGTTGTGGTCGAGCAGCAGAACCCGCAGGGCCAGCGCCCGCGGCAGCGCATGGGCCAGCGCCCGCGCGCCGAGTTCCCCGATACCGTTGTTGCAGAGGTCCAGCTCCTGCAGCGCCATCGCCCGCGGCAGCGCCAAGGCCAGCTCCCGCGCGCCGAAGTCCCCAACACCGTTGCGGCCGAGGTCCAGCCTCTGCAGCGCCGGCGCGCGTGGCAGCGCCAACGCCAAGGCCTTCGCGCCGGCGTACCCGACGCCGTTGCAGGAGAGGCCCAGCTGCCGCAGCGCGGGCGCGCGCGGGAGGGCTGTGGCCAGCGCCCGCGCGCCAACGTCCCCGACACTGTTGCTCGCGAGGAGCAGCAGGTGCAACGCGGGTGCTCGCAGCAACGCCTCGCCCAGAGTCTGGGCCACGGCGGGCGGCAAGTCGTTACCGTCAAGGTTCAGCTCCCGCAGCGCCGGCGTGGCGCTGGAAGCCACCACCTCGAGCACGGCCGCGGCGGCCTCGGCGCTCACGCCGCAGAAATTCAGGACCTCGATCTGCCGGAAGCGCAACTCGAAGGCCTCGCGGTAGAGCCGCGCCACGAGGAGGCCGTCCGTGGGGCCGTTGGTGAAGCTCTTGTCGGCCAGCTGCTCAGCGAAGCGGGAGGGCAGCAGCGCTGGCCTCCAGCTCGGCTTGCAGACGCTCTCCAGGTGGAGGTACGACGCCGCGCCGTCGTCCAGCGCCAGGTCGAGGACCTTGTCGAAGCTCTTCACCATGCACGCCCACGAGGCTTCGCAGAAGCACCAGCCCCGTTCGGTGTAGGGGGCAACGTCACCAGCGCGGGCGTGCTTGTCTTGATAGTCGTAGCTGGGTGGGAGGGCCGTGAGCATGAAGACCGTTGTGTGCTGGTGAGTGTAGAGCGTCCCCAAGCCGCCGAGCGCTTGCTTGAAGAGAGTTTCCTCGGCGTCGAAACGACCCACGGCCCCGTCGGCGAGCCGCCCCTCCGTCTCGAGCCACTTGAAAGTAGCCTGCGTAGGGACGCCGTGAGCATCGCGACAGTTCTGGTGGATGCAAGCAAAGTCCAGGAAAACTCCCCACTCCCCGCCGCGTTCCTTGACCAACAACCCCAAGGCGCGCGATAGGGTGCGCAGGTTGTGGCCCCGAGGATCCGGGTGGTCTGGCCTCAGCCAGCAGTGGGAAACGCACACCACCGGCAGAGAACTCGTGTTGTGGAGAGGCGTCCCTGCTTGGAGCTCGCTCGTAGACGCGTGGGCCTCGGGAGGCGCCGCCTGCCGGGGCAGCAGCTTGGTGCCAGCCTTGTCCATTTGGATGAGAGCCTGAGCGCTCAGGAGGCAAACGGCCCCGCTGGTCAGCACGGGCTCAATCTCGTCGCCCCGCAACCGATCCCATATCTCCAGCTTCTCCTCTGGGGGGACAAAACACCTCCCCAGACCTCTCCCAGGGTGCACTCGGACCTGAAATTCGAAGGGAATCTAGCCACGGCGACCAAGGTCTGTCCTGGACAAGCAGCGGGAACGGTACGGCAGGTTCGTGTCGTGACGACCCAGCTTTGGTGTTTCTGATACCGCATGGATCGCTCAACCTTCAAATATCTGCGGCTTTTCGATCGCCGAACGCGCTCCTGGGAGGGGGGGGGCTGACGCGAGCTGACGCGAGCTGACGCGGGCTGACGCGGGCTGACGCCTTTCCGTTCCTGGGACCCGGGACCCGGGACCCGGGACCCGGGCGGCTCCTGGGAGGGGGGAGGGAAACCGGTCCCGGGACCCGGACCCGGGACCCCAGACCCGGGACCGGCGCGAGACCCGGGACCCGCGACCCGAGACCGGCCCGGGACCCGGGACCCGGGACCGGCGCGGGACCCGGGAACCCGGGACCCGGGACCGGTGCGACACCTGGGACCCAGGACCGGCGCGGAACCCGGGACGAGCGCGGGACCCGAGACCCGGGACCGGCACGAGACCCGGGACCAGCGCGGGACCCCCGGAGGACTCGGGAGGGGCGCGGAAACCGCGAACCCGGACCGGCGCGGGACCCGGGACTCGGGACCCGGGACCGGCGCGGGACCCGGAACCGGGACGCCAGGAACGGCGCGGGACCCGCGACCCGGGACCGACGAACGCGGGACCCGGGACCCGCGACCCGGGACCGGCGCGGGACCCGAGACCCGGGACCGGCGCGGGACCCGGGACCTGGGACCGTCGCGGAACCCGACCGGCGTGAGACCCGGGACCCGCGACCCGGGACCGGAGCGGAACCCGGACCCCGGCCGGGACCGTGGGACCCGGGACCCGGGACCCTGACCCTCTCAGTCGTCTGTTAGCAACCGTAGGGTTTGCGATTGCACGCGTGCGTTGCAATTCAAACGCGCGTGTCGTCTATTCTCCAAAACACCTAAAAAGAGGAGGAGGAGAAGGAGGAAGAGGAGGAGAAGGAGGAGGAAAAGGAGGAAGAGGAAGAGGAGGAGAAAGAGGCGGAGGAGAAAATGAGGAGAAGGGGGAGGAGGAGGAGGAGGAGGAGGAGGAGGAGGAGGAGGAGGAGGAGGAGGAGGAGGAGGAGGAGGAGGAGGAGGAGGAGGTGGAGGAGGAGGAGGAGGAGGAGCAGGAGGAACAGGAGGAGGAGGAGGAACGATGAGGGAAGGAGAAGTGGGAGGTGGAGGGATGATGAGAAAGCAGGAAGAGAAGGAGGAGGGCGAGGAGGAGGGCCAAGAGAGCTGGCCAATACTTTTTTGGGTCGTCAGTTGTGAGCAGCACTGTTTGCTGTGCGTTGCACTCCGCGTTTGTTGATTTCTAAGTGGTCGCTCCTGGCTGTTGGACCCAATGTTCATGCGATGCATTTCCATAGCCAATTTTGTCTCAAGGATTTGCGGCTGTGGTTTTAGCATCGCTCGGTCAATCATGCGAGGATCCTCTTTCTCGAGAGAGAAGGAAACCGATGGCGGTGAGCTGGGAAATCCTTGCGGGCATTCTTACTACACTGCCAGCTTCGTCCTTCAGTGGTGGAGATCTCAAGTATGACGATCTAGAGTTCAAACATGCTCCTCGCTGGCCTCAAGTATCGAAACTCCGACACACGATTCTTCAGCTTCTGAAGCTGACGAACGGCCTCAACGTCCACCAGAAAAACCTCACCGAGGCCTTCATGGAGTACTCCAAACGGCACGGTTTGCACCACACGGTAGAGAACTGCGAGCGGAACGCCTACAAGATTCGGGCAGTCATCGCTCAATTCTGCAACCATAAGGCTGCTGACCCACCTCGAACAGCACCACCTGCTTGGCGCCGCCACCTAGAAGTGATCTACGACGCCGCTGCTGTGCCAGAGCGGGCGCCGCAGACATCGAGCTCAGCGATGCCTAAATGCGAGTCAGTCAAGGGGTCTGTCCTGACGTGCCCGTCCTCGCCCGAGACCGTCCTGGGCAGCCGAGACCACGACGGAGACGAACTCTTCGATGCGGACTGCCCCGAGTTATCGCAGCTTCTGCAGGAGGGCGCGCAGGAGGCCTTATCGAACCTTGGCCCCATTGAGGCTCAAGCTGATCAGGCACCTCGTTCTTCAAGTGTAACTGCCTCATTTTCTAGCGGTGATATCGCGGCGCTGGCCGAGGGGGAAGTGGGCGTCGCCCCAAAGGATTGGAGGGACTTCAACAAGGGCGTCAAGAAGGGGGAGAAAGCAGTCAAAAGGAAACGTGCCCCCCGAGTTCAGAAGGCTGCTGGTCAGCCCAAGTCTGGACGCAAGAAAAAACTCAAGCCCCAGGGCGCCGGCGCGCCAGCGGAGGAACCACCCCACAAACAGATCCAGAAGTTCTTGAACAACATGCGCTCCAGAGCACGCGCGCTTGCCATCAAGGAGAAGATTGACGAGGGATGGAGTCCCGAGGATGCGAAGACCTTTGGGAATGCTGAGGCTCAGAAAGCGAGGGCAGAGTACAAGAAGCAGATCGACGACGGGACAATCGACAAGTTTTTGCTCGTCTGATGTGCCCAACCTAGTGCAGCGCAAATCTAGGAGGGAAGGGGGGAGATAGATGAAGGGCGGGGCAGGGTGGGGGCACAGTGCCGACGCATACTGCGCTAGAGGCAGAGCTACCAGCGCACGATTTGTCATCGCCAGCTTCTTTTTTCAGTCGAGCTCGCCTCGCAATCTCTCGCAGTGTCTATCCTGTCTGGCAGCTGGCCGCGTTGCGCGCGTCATGTAGCAGTGCGTTCGTTCGGGGTTGAACGCAGCATTGGCTTTCACTTGGTCTGCGACGCAGGTGTTTCGCGAGTTTTTGCGTTTGCATGGGGAGGGCCAGCGCATCTTCAAGTGATCTGTGCCAAAACATCCCTTGTTCCCCCAAGGGATTCCATTAGTTGCCTGATTGATGACACGAAGGCCAAACGAGACCTCCGAGAGCCATCCACCCCGAAGGTGCCCCTGAGAGACCGCCCGCAGAGGCCCTGACCTACGTGCTACACAGGCACGTTGGAGGGGGAGGGGGGGGGGGCATTGAATGTGCGCAAGGTGGGAGGTTCACAAACTCCCAAAGCTGAGCAGCGCTAAAACGGGGAAAACACTGCAACCTACATCGGGCTAGCACCGAACAGGGCAAACCAAAGCGCAACGCGCGTGCATAGGGAGGCACGCGAGATAAAGAGTGAGAGAGGAAGAGAGAATGCGACTGAGCTGGTGGTTGCATCGGCGCGCAGCGAACCTTAACACCTAAAACAAAAAATTAGTGACGCTTCGCGTGTCCCCGCCAGCCCATCCAAAAACTATGCCCAGGCGAATTGCGGTGACCAGGGAAGCGAGGGAGCATACAGGGCAGCAAAGGGCTGGGGAACCCGTCTTACCCAAGAGGGCGAGGATGGAGGAGGAGTCGGAGGAGGATGGGGAGAGGAGGGGGGGAGGAGGGGGGGGGGGGGAGGAGGGGCAGCAGGTAGGAAAAGTGGGAGGAGGGAGGAGGGAGGAGGGGGAATAGGCGGATGATGGGGAGGGGGGGTGGGGGGGGTGGGGTGGGGGGGAAGAAGGGGGATGAGGGGGGAGGGGGGGGGGGGGGGGAGAGAAGAGGAAAGGAGGAGGAGGAGGATGAGGCTGATAAAGTGGAGGAGAAGGAGGAGGAGTAGGCCGACAAGGAGGAGGAGGAGGAGGAGGAGGAGGAGGAGGAGGAGGAGGGGGATGAGAAAGATGAGAAGGAACAAGAGCAAAGACGTGCACAAGAGCCTCCTAGGATGTCCCTTGGAAGTTGTTTTGGGGTCCTCTTGGAGCGCCTGGGGGATTCTTGGATGCTTCGGGGGTCCCCTTGAGGCCTCTTGGGGATCTAGGGGGCCTCTCCAGGGCCTCTTGGTGACCTCTTGGCGCCTCCTGGGCGCCTCTTGAGGCCCTCTTGGGACGCTCTTGGGAGCCTTGGGAGCGCTCGCGGGGCCATCTTGGAGGTGATCGATCAAAGGAATGGGGGCCCCCCAATTAGCACCCCCCCCCACCACCCCCCACCGGATGCCTCTAAAGCTGGCCAAGACCAGAGTAAAACCGATGATGTTGGCTTCCTCGCCGAGGCCGTTTTGGGCGCTCCAACTACCAGCGAAACCCCCCGTCCAGATCCTGGGGGGGGGGGGAGGGGCAAGCCCCTCCCCGAAGGGGAAGAAGGGAAGATGGAAGAGGAAACTCCCTAAACCACCTACGCCCAGAGGGCTGGTGGGATTCCAAGAACATGCGCTGTGGAAACGTCTTTCCGTAGGCATTTGCGGCCCGAGATTTTTACTCTTCTCAGAACCCGCAATCCAGTGGGCGCTCTTGAACGGAACCATGTCGCAGCCTGGCTCGGGGGAAGAAGTTGAGTTCATCGACTCACAGGAGACGTTGGCGCTCGCAAGCGGCAATTCGGACCTTGGCTCGGCGGCTGACCACAGGCCATTGCGCATGGATAATCCCGTCGTGCTCCGAGGCTACGCTACCGAGATCGACGCCGTGCAAGTCGTCTTCGCCGCCTGGCTCTCCAACTTAGGCGAGCACAGGTACACCCAGGGACTGTGCCCAGAGATCGAGGAGCTGGCGTTCGAGGCAACCATCCTGAGCAGCGCGGTTGAGTCTGCCATCGACGGTAAGAACGTGGGCGGCTTCTCCTTGGGAGTCCTCGGCAATCGCTTGATGAAGCTCTTGGACGAGCGCAACTCCAGAAGATCATCGTGGAGCCTCTGCTTGGCCCTCCAGCGAAGGTCATAAAGCGCTCCGCGAGCGACCCTCCAGATGTGGAGCCCGAGTCTGAGCAGGAGGGCTGCGATGAGCCGCAAGCGAGCTAGGCCCTTGCTGATAGCTCATACTTTTCAGGGGCAGCGGCTTGGCCGCGCGCACTTGAGCCCGGCCTCGAGAGTCAGGGGCAGGGCATTTTTTGTCTGGGGAGTTTGAGCCGCTGGATGGCGAGGATGAG